TACACACACACACACACACACACACTTTATCATATGAATCAGATTCTTATATAATAAAAGATTATATCTAAAAGAATTGCAAGTCTCCGATCTTACATAAGGAACCACTAAAGAGCTCTTCTAGCATAGTGGTTACGAATCAGGCTGCTACCCTCAGGGTCAGCAGTTCGAAACTACCAGCTGTTCCACAGGAGAAAGAGGAGGCTTTCTGCTCCCGTAAAGATTTACAGCCTTGGAAACCCTGTACAGGGCCACTATGAGTCGGAACCAACTCCCCGGCACATAACAACAACAAAAGGGAAATTAGTCCTGGTGTGGCACTGTGGATTAATACAATGGATTGCAAGGTGTTTGAAATGCACGGTAAGTGGTTCAAGTTCAACCAGTCACTCCTCAGAAACCCTATATAGGGTCACTATGAGTCAGAACTGACTCAACAACATTTAACAACAACACAGGGAAATTAGAAGGAGCACTTTTGTGGCAGCGGGTTAGTACTTGGCTACTTAATGAAAGATCATTGGTCCAAACCCACAAACCTCATCAGGGCAGAAAGATGTTGCAGTCCACTTCTGTAAATATTTATAAAATTGGAAACTGTATGAGGCAGTTCTAAAGTGTCCTATAGGGTTGCTATGAGTTGGAATCAACTTAATGACAAGGGGTTTGGTTTTAGTAGGGATCCTCAAAGACAACAGACAACAGAAGAGGATCATTTATCCCTTTTTCCTAGTCTGGAAGCTCCGTCCATCATGGGTGACCCCTGCTGGTATTTATGTGATAGTTTTCAGCATCACAGCAACATGCAAGCCAGCACAGTATGATAAAGTGACAGATGTGTGGGGAATGACAACAGGTAAGGCAAAAAAAGGGCACTAGAAAAAAGTTTAGACTCTAGCATCATAGTTATTGCTGCTGTGTCCCGTGGAGTCGGTTCCGACTCATAGTGACCCAGTACAGGGTTTCCAAGGCTGTATATGTTTATGGGAGCAGAAAGCCTCATCTTTCTCCCACCGAACAGCTGGCAGTTTCCAACTGCTGACCTTGCGGTTCACAGTCTGATTCGTAACCTCTGGTAGCGTAGTGGTTATGAATTGGGCTGCGAACCTTAAGGTCAGCAGTTCAAAACTACCAGTGGCTCCGCAGGAGAAAGATGAGGCTTTCTTTTCCCGTAAAGATTTACAGCCTCGGAAACCCTGTATAGGGTCGCTATGGGTCGGAACCGACTTGACGGCACACAACAACGCTACCAGAACACCATAGTTACAGTAAATAATAAACACAGACTAACTCCTAGTCTGGTGTGGTGCTGTGTGGATTAAAGCACTGGACTGCAAGGTTGGTTTGAACCACAAGGTTGGCGGTTCAAGCTTACCAGCTGTCCTTGAAACCCTATACTATGAATCAGCACTGACTCAATGGCACTTAACAACAACTTCTAGCCAGATAAAGCTTCACACTAAAGTCTATTACATCAGTTCTTTTTACCTAATATCTCATGCCTGATTGTAAATACATATCTATATACACATACATACATACACACACACACATATATATACCATTGTAAAAGTAAAAATAATAAAACAAAACCAAAAGCAGCCTGAGCCAAGTATCAGAACTAGACTTGGGATGCTGGGATTGCAGAGAATTTGGAATGATCATACCTGGAATTTATGACAATTATGCTTAATTTTGGGAGAAAGATGAGGCTGTCTCAGAAACCCTAAATAGCATCACTATGAGTTGCAATCAACTGGATGGTAGTTTTTTATTGTTTATGATTTATATGCCTGACCCCAAGCCCTGATATTTTTCATAAGTATATGAAAGCTGGACAATGAATAAGGAAGACTTAAGAAGAATTAAACACCAAGTTAAATAATAGCCGGAAATCTATACCTGAAAATCTATACCTAGGCATATCATATTCAGACTTCAAGACATAAAAGACAAACAAAAACAAAATTTTGAGGGAAAGAAAAAAAGTCAGAGAGGGGAAAATTTCTTACTTATAAAGGAACTGGTGTGGCGTTGTGAGCTAATGCGTCAGACTGCAAAGTCATTTGAACTGCAAGGTCAGTGGTTCAAGCTCACCAGCTGCTCCTTGAAAACCCTATACAGGGTCACTATGGGTTAGAATAAACTCAATGGCACTTAACAACGGAACTAGGAAAATAATTGTATAGGATATCTCTTTAAGAAATCATGTAAGAAAGAAGAAAATGGAGCACACTATTTAACGTATCCCTTAGGTGATGCTACATCTGCAAATGAACATGTTTCTAACATGGGATGAAAAAAACAAATAGCAAAGACCAAGAAAGAATTTTGTGTGGAACTGAAGCATATGATTAAATTTACATATACATACATTTAAGAAAATGGACATACTGAATAGCAAAGTTTTAAAAAAAATTTAATACCACATCTTTCAGAAGCAACAATCCCCATTTAGTCAATAAATGGAAATTCAGAGGCTCACTAGCCAAGCTCAGTCTCAGCCCTTCTAACATTCAGTATAACTCCGAGACTACAATGTAATTTGAAAATTTCTCTGAAGTTGCAGAACCTTTGTGTTGTGAAGTCAAGTCATACTCTTTCTCTTTGTTGTTTTATGAATATATAGACTGATGACACGTTTTAGTAAACGTGGCCTAGCATTAGTGAATTTTTTTTATTCTTGGGTAATCAATTGCAAAAGTCATATTTGTTTTGCTTTGTTCTTTCCAATCAAATATTTGTTATTTTAAAGTGAAAGCTTGGCATCAGGTGATCAGTAATTATTTATGATGATGAATGCAAGAAGAGAAGAAATTAGGTATGACAAATCTCTAAAGTCTTTTTAACACTAAAAAATGTTTTTAGTAATTAATCTGGAAAAAAAAAGTAGCAAGGAGACTAATTTTTTCTTCTTGCAAAAGCTTACAAAAACCCTAGTACTAGGAATAATTTTGTATTAGATAACTCTATTCCCTTAACCTTGAAAAAATGTATATAAGATACACAAAAGTATGTTAACATATAATTGTTGTTGTTAAGTGCCATCAAGTCGGCTCTGACCCACAGCGACCCTATATAGGGTTTCTGAGGAGCAGTTAGTGCGCAAGAACCGCTGATCTAGCAGTTCAAATGGCTTTGCAGTCTGATGCATTATCCCACAGCGCCACCCCAGGACTCCTAACATATAATTGTTGTTGTTGTTAAGTGCTGGTGAGTTGATTCTGACCTATAGCGACCCTGGTGACCTATAGCAGCTGGTGAGCTTGAACCTCTGACTTCGTAGTTCAAATGACTTTGCAGTCTGACGCACTAGCTCACTGTGTCACATAATTGTTGTTGTTGTCAAGTACCCTGGAGTCGGTTCTGACCCATAGTGACCCTGCACAGAGTTTCCGAAGCTGTAAATCTGCACGGAAGCAGAATGCCTCATCTTTCTCCCGCGGAACTGCTGGTAGTTTCCAACTGCTGACCTTGAGGTTGACAGTCTGACTCTTAACCACTGTGCTACTGGCGCTCCATAATAAGAGGACTCAATTCCAAAGTTCAAATATTCAAAGTGCATTTCAAAGAAAAATTATCATATGATGATTGGGAACTTGGCAAACTGGAATTGCTAATTTTTTTAGAGAATATTTGGAACTGGGCAGTCTGATTTCTTCCAGGGGTTAAAAACAAAGTCATGGCCTTTACCCCTTTTCTGAAAACAAATCTGATATCTCACTGCAAAAGTCTGCACACTAAGAAACTTTGGCTGAATTTTGGTAGACACACGAGGTCAAAATCCATTGTACTTCTAATATCACCATACCAAAGTCATAATGATATTACACTTGTGCCCACTTCTTTGTTGCCCTCCCCCCATACCCCAAGGCTAATAATGGGCTACAAAACTAGCAATGGTAATTTGGTCCTGGTGTAGCACCACAGGACAAGCATTGTACTGCTAACTGTAAAGTGTGTGGTTCAAACCCACCAAGTTGCTCCTGGGAAACCTTATTCAGGGTCACTATAAGTCAGAACCAACTCAAGGGCACAATAACAAGGTCCAAGATTGCTTTTAATTAGATTGTGGAGCAGATAGCATGCTGCTAAAAACATAAAGCATAGCTACATATTTACTGTAGCAAAAGAAGTTAAAGTGAGGACCTTAAAAAATCCTGATTACTTAGTACATGAGGTCCAAATGTGACAAAATTCTACCTTTACTTAAGAACCTCCTTCAGTGTGCAACACGTATAAGTGTTTAGTATTGCATAAAGAGAAACTTAACTTTAATTACTGAAGGATTAAAAAATTTAAGTCAGTTGTGACGGAATTCAAGCTTCCTTAAGGAACTTTTTTAAGTTCAAATTTTTAACTTTTTTTTGTTTTTAATTTAAAAAATTCATCCAACTGCTTCACTTTACAGTTTTTTAAATTAAAAGGAAGGTAATTCGGTATTTTCACACGCTCAACAACAGCATAAGTAACTAAAGATAATTTTAGAAAATGCAGAAAAATTGCTGGCTCCAGATTGAATTTGGTGACTTTGGCAGCGTCTGCATGTTAATCACAATGTGACAGATCAGAACTCAAATTCAACTTCTTAAGACTGGACTACATTGGCTGCAAAGACACAAGTCAGGTCAAGACCAAAGAGAAAAACTGTCAAATGTTTCCACTTACAGCAAGGCAAAAGATAACATCTGAGATTCGGGATAAGGATTAGGACCAAGTTTGGGCTGACTCAGGTCAGGAGTCCATGGGGGTCCTGTTGACAAGTTTCCTCTAGCCATGACCTTTGCCCTAGATGGCAAGTGTTCCAAGAGACGCCCATGGGGAGAAATCCAGGGTCCACCAACAGGTGCAGACAGCGTGACCTTTGTGCTAGTTTAGTCTGAGACGGTAGTGCAGAAGCGGCGGGGAGACTGGCCCGCAGCCCCCAGGTGTGGTCCTGTGCGTTTTGCCCACACTCCTCGACCTTCCTCCCCTTATTCCCGCCTGGAGTTCAAGCTCACCCGGGCAGGACATCTTGGCTAGAGGCAGCAACATGCTCACAGCAACCAGGGCTCTCTGTTTCGGACACAAATCAAGGAGGACTGTTCGAATATCGCTGGTAGGGGCGGACCTCTAAGCCGCGAGGGGCGCCATCACCTGCCTGAAGCACCAACACTTCTAGTGAAATTCGCCTCTGGCCAGCTCTAGCTTGTTCCCGCCTCCCAGTAGTTCTGTGCCAGCGCCACTCACGATCAGATGGCTAGAAGATACTTCCGGTTCATATACCAAAGAGGAAAGGGAACCACAAACCAAACTGCTGCACGTCAATTCCGACTCTGAGTTCCTGGCTTTGGGCTGCAAATTGGACCTGAGCTTCTTTATCAGGGAGGCGTGGTGCGGCCGCTATGAGGACCACAAGACCCATAATACAACGTGCGCTCAGTAAAGAGACGAGGAGGAGCGGACAGCATCTTGGGAGTTGTAGTCTTCACTAAGCACCCTCTAAACCAGGCTACGCAGAAGTGGTGCGCTGCCTAAGGTGAATTGGCTGACATCTAATTGGCTGTCCCGAACGATGAACCATCTTCGCGGCCTTGGGCAGAGACTCACATGGAGACAGGGCGGAACTTTAGGAGAGAGGAGGTGGGGCCGCTGGGCTTTGGGCGCGAGCGGTTGAAAGACTGTTGGTGTCGGTTCGGCTGCTCTACTTAGATATAGCTATCCCATCCCTTCTCTATGGCTGAGCATGAAGAGATACGGGCCTCTTCGCCGCCCCCACCGCCTCCTTCCTCTCCGTCTTCGTCAGACACCTCTTCATCATCCTCCCCCGGCGTTCCAGTGAGTCTGGATTGGCAAGTTTCGAGGAGGATCAGCGGCCGTATTGTGGACCCGCTGGAGGAAGTGGAGCTGCAGATTGGAAACGTGAGTGTCGTCTTCGGAAGAAGAACCCGGTCGCCGCGTCTCAGACTTTTTAAAATGAGCCCTGAAAGTGTGAACGCAGGGGGACTCGTCTTTAGACTGTTAGGGAATGAAGGGGTTACCTCTTCGCCCTTCTCGCCTTCTGGTTTTATCATCTTCTGTAACTCGAAACCTGATAGCTCCACAGTAGCGCTAGTGCTGACTTTGCTTCCTCCCCGGCAACCAAGAACTGTTTCAACTGTGCGATTGGTCAGCCTTGCTTCTCATTGTTTACTAGTGGGCCGTGATTTTTCTCCACGGGTTTTAGAGCTCGATGCTCTGGTTGGCTACTTGCCCAGAGTCAGCTGATAAAGCTATTGTGTGCTGCAGGCCCGCCTTGCATTGAGATCAGCTGGGAGGGGGATAGTCGCGGCCCCTTTAGTCTCTAATTGTTGTTGTTGTGCCGTGGAGTCGATTCCAACCCATAGTAACCTTGTATAGGGTTTCCGAGGAACAGCTGGTAAGCTTGAACCGCCAACCTTGAAGTCACTTAATTGTTTATTGGAGGATTCCGCCCTGTGATTAGTCTGGCTGGTTTAGAACCCCCAAAGACTAGCACCGTTTCCTCCCACCCCAACCAACACACACACACCACCTCCTCTTCCCCCTCCCCCCTCAAGAGAGGAGGTCACAGTTTAAGATTTTACGGCCTCTGAGTGGGGCTAGTGAAATAAAGAGCTGTAGGGCATCACTTTCCTGAGAGGGCTTTGTGGAATTGACCAGCGAACCCACCCGCCTGTGCTCATGGGAAATTAGGGAATTAACTCGATTATTTAGTTGTTTAAGAAATACGCTTGGTGGTGTTTTTTGTTTTTAATGACTAAGAATTGCTAATCCAGCTTCTGTATTTGCTGGAGCAGGACTAGTTACAAGTGAACATGTAGAATGAAGTGCTGATAGGTTTTCTAGAAACTCATGTCATGTTGAAGGAGACCTTTGCTTTAAAAGTGAAGTTTTCACAAAGAGTTGGCTAGTCTCTGCATTCTTGTATGTGCGTGTGTGTGATTTTGCTGTATTTGTCAGAGGTCAGTGTATCTGCATTGAGCTATCCAATTTGATGGCCTAATGTGTGCATAGTGAAATTGTTACCAGACTCAGTTTCCTGAGTTATAATTTTAAGGACTCACTGGGTCCCCCACTCATCAGTGAGTTAAGAGTAACAAAGCGAGTGGGTTTGCCATATCAGAATTTTATTACTTGTGACAAGGAGACAGGGAGATAATTCTAAAAGTACTGTTTCCTGGAGGAAAGCTTTTAAGCCTATGGGAGAAAAGGGAGCTATTCAAATGCAGGGCTTTGGGGAGGTGCCACGCGGCGTTATTCATGGAAAGGGCCAATGGACTGGACTCTGCTTTTCGAAGTGGTTCCAGGCATCATAGATGATGTAATTCTGGTGAATATCTGTTCCTTTATAAGCTTTCTAACGGTCTGGGTCAACTGGTGTGCAGAGTTGCTTTCTTGGTGCTTGTTCCTGAATTGGGCTATAGCTAGTTTGCATTGTAGCTGAAAGAAAACATCTGTAAAAAGGAAAAGCTGGCAGGGGATGGGTCAAGGATGTTTTCATTTAGTTGTTTACTGTTCAAAGTGCCCTATGCCTAACTCTTATGAGTAACTGGTTGTTTTTTTCTGAACCTAGCTGATTTAGAATAATGCCCTTGCAACACAAATATCAGTAAGTTATTTATGATGAAGTCCGTTGAAACTAACGATGTTTGTGTTAAGGGTCCCAAACTCATCTTCTTGAGCTAAATGAGACTCTAATATAAAACAAAACAAACCAACAACAAAAAACCCCACACAACTAACTGTCTTGTCATATATTATACGTAATTTTTTTTCTTGTAGGTATAGTTCCTCAAGAAGACCTGGTGTGGCACTGTAGAATAAGCACTGGACTGCTAACTGCATCTGGAAACCTTATGCAGGGTCCGTTTGGGTTGGAACCCACTCAAAGGCATTTAACACAACAACACAGTTCTTCAAAGCTTATATCATATTAAAGAATGTATTAGGTTCTCTGAAAAAACCTGTGTTTTCTTATGAAAATTTGTGCTTTCAAAGGAGTTGTTGTTAAAATGCCTTTGAGTCGGTTCCAACCCATAGTGACCCTGATCAGGGTTTTCCGAGGCTGTTAATCTTTATGGGAGCAGAACGCCTCATCTTTCTCCCACGGAGCAGCGGAGCAGCTGGTAGTTTCGAACTGCTGACCTTGAGGTTCACAGCCCGATTCGTAACCACTACGCTACCAGAGCTCCTTTTTCAAAGGAGAGTAACTTGGAAATTGGATTCAAGGGTTCATACTGTATTTTAGGCTATTTATAAAATGAAACGAGAAGTTAAAAATAAACTTCCCTTTGATTTTCTTATTTTTTTTTCAATTTCAGGCAGCATTTTCATTAACCCAGCTTCTTGAAGCCACATCTGCAGTGTCAGCTCAAGTGGATGAGCTTGCCTTCAAATGTACAGAAAATGCACGTTTCCTTAAAACATGGCGGAACCTCTTAAAAGAAGGCTATGATTCTTTGAAACCGGACAACTGATTTGGCATGCTTAATTAGTTTTAAAAACAATGGTTATGTAATAACTCACTCTTCCTCATCTATAATATTTGTACATGTACACATTAGGGGTAATCTCTTTTCAGTAGTTTTGTATAATCAGAATTTTTTTTTCTTGACTATCTTGATTTATATGACAGTAGAATATTGATATTATTTTTGCTGTTGGACAATATTTGATTACCCTTAAATATTTTCTCTTTAACCTTACATAGAAATCTTTATAACATTAATTTCATCAGTGATTGATTGATGCCATATTGCTACCGATAACAAACTAAGTAAACCATTATTCATTTTTCAAGGGAATTCCAAGAATGACAGAAATGGAAAAACTTTAAAGTTCTGTCTTAATTTTCTGGCTCAGAGGAGAAGGCAATTTTGACAATGATTCTTCCATTAGGCTAAGTTCCCTAGAGCCAGTGACTGTGCTTTATTTACCTGTGTGTCCTTAACACTTAAAGCAGTGTCCTAACACTCACTGAATGGTTGTTGAATAAGAGAATTCACAAACACAATTAAAAACTATTTTTTTCTAATTATTTTTGGCATCACATCTCTAATTGTTTCTCTAAACAGATATGTGAACCAGAAATTCATTGACTTGAAACTGTTAAAAAGCCCCAAAAAACTATGCAGTTTAACTGTTGCTTTTTTAAAATGTATTTTTTGACTTTTTATGATGCTTTTTCTTAAAAGTCTTAAAACTCAAAAATTGTCTGGAAAGAATGCATATATTTTTTCTCTGTTTCTATGATTAACTACTTTTACAGTTAATATTTCATGTATGCTATTTTTATATACTTACTTGGTTATTGTTTTTAAAGTACCCTATCAGATTATGGTTCTGTGCTGTTACTTTGGGAGCTTTGCAAGTTGTGAAATGCTTCTAAAGAAGTTGCTTTGTTTTCAGTGCATCAGATTTAAATGATGTGATGTTTTTGTTACTTGACCTCAGTAACAATACTTTATTTTACTTGTCCTGTATGTTATGTTACTCTTTTTGTTTAGAGGTCTCATTGTTGTTTATTTTTTGGTGATTTGTGTCAATAATTAAGCCAACTAAATAGCTATTATATAACTTCTCTAACGTTTTTAACATGGCATCTTTACCTTTTTTATATATAAAACTATTTATAGATCTATATTCTAAATCCCCATAATGAGGCTATAAAAGGGATGGACAAACAATAGTTTTGTTTAGCATATTATGTTATAGTTCTGGATTAATTTTTTAATGTAAAATTGCACATGTGATTTCTGTACCAAAGAAATGCCTACTTTAATATTAGAAAAGTATTTTTCTTATGTATCTTGAAAATTACAATTTTAAGTGTGCAAAATAAACATTAAAAACAAATTTTATATTCACTTTTTGTTTCATTATTTTTTAAAAAAATATTAAAATATTTCTAATGTGTAGGAAAAGAGAATAAAGAATTATATTTATAGTCCTACATACAGATTTTATAAATTTTAGTATTTAACCCTATTTTCTTCAGCTCCATATATATTTAAGCACAACTGTTAGATGCATGTGACTCCTTCTCTGTTACCTGTTTGATCCCATAGCTTCCCTCTTTCATTATAGATAAGCACTGCCCTAGAGTTGCTATGTAGTCAAGATTGAGTTTTGAAATTTGTAATATAACCTTATAAAATTGTTTATGTTATGGTAGCTAGTTTCCAAGGAGTCTCTGTGTGATGCAAATGGTTAAGTGCTCAGCAACTAACTGAAAGATTGATGGTTTGAACCCATCACAAGCGTCACAGAAGATCTGCTTCCAAAAGGTTACAACAGTGATAAACCTAATGGAGTAGAGTTTCATTCTGCAACACAAGGGTTCACTAGAATCAGTGGCAACTAGTTTGGTGTTTTGTTTTTTTTACAGCTATTCTCTAAGATGTTCCTATTCACTGGTTGCCTTTTCGTATTCATATCATGGATAGTCTCTCATGTTCAATATGGCTGACTTGTGTAAGGAAATTCAGTTCGTGATTTCTTTAGCATGTTTTTCTATTATGCTTGAATACATATTTTCAATACTAGGTAGTCAATTATGTATTTTTCAACTATCTTATGTAGTCTGATTTGTCTTTGCATTTTGGTTATGGTGGTTTCTTGTATAAAGTTTTTAAAATATAATCTTTTATAATATCTTCCATAATAGTTTCTTCTTTGTGGATCATATATAAGAACTATAGTACCCCCTAAATGATTTTCCATTAGTTTGAATTTTTAAAAAATTCAGGTGTTAAGTGTTACTGGAATTTTTGTTCATAGTGTGATCTTGGAATTTTGTTTTACTTATTTTTGCATGCAGGTAAATACTCCTCCAAGTATTATTGTTACCATATAGCTAGAGAAGGGAATAAAACTTTGTTCTTAAAGAACTATGGTTGTATGTTTTGTTCGGCCTGGAGGATACCTAAGGGAACAGCTCAGGGGCTTGCCCTTGTTTTTCTTCCATTTTGGTTTTCTGATTCCAGGTCTTTACACATTTCTTTATAGTACTTTATCATAAAAATTTAGAGTAGTTGTAAGTGCTGTCAAGTCGATTCCCACTCATAGTGACCCTGCATAGGGTTTCGATGGAGTGGCTGGTGAGTTAGAACAGGCAACCTTGCAGATCAAACCCACCTCAGAACTCTCTCAGGGTTGAGCAGTGGCTCTGTAAGATTAGCACTGAACTGTGAACTACCAGGTCAGTGGTTCAAGCCCACCAGTTGCTCTTCCAGAGAACTATGAGCCCTCCCACAAAGATTTGCAGCCTCAGAAACCCTATACTGGGTCGCTATAAGTCAGAACCAACTCAAAGGCACTTAACAACAATAAATACTAGCCACATCTACCTGGAGCAAGGGATAACAGATGGGGCCATCAGCAAACAAATTGAAAACCTAGAGGGAAAAAAGGAGAAATAAGGACATTGTAAGCTCCTTGGTATACCAGAGACTCTTGAACACCACATGCATATCTTGAGCTGGACTCATACTCAGACAAGATCTGAGAAGGCCTTTAGTTTCACCTAAGACTGACAGTTAGGCTCCATGTCAGTAAGAAGTTGGTGCTCCATCATCTTGCAGCTGTGTTTCTCCCTTATGCCTTCAGTGCAGATTGCACTTCTTCCTTCAATACCATCAATTTTTGATTATATGTTCTGATATGATTGAATGTCAAATTAAATGTTTTTGGTATGTGACTCTGTATATTCCTTCCCTATCCTTTTGAAGGAGCTCTGGTAGCGTAGTGGTTACGAATTGGGCTGCGAACCTTAAGGCCAGCAGTTCGAAACTACCAGCTGCTCCGCGGGAGAAAGATGAGGCGTTCTGCTCCCGTAAAGATTTACAGCCTCGGAAACCCTGTACAGGGTCGCTATGGGTCGGAACTGACTCGACGGCACTTAGCAACAATCCTTTTGATGCTTCCTGCATCATTTAATATTTTGCCCATTGATCCTTCAATATTGCAAGTCGAGTTTTGATTTTTTTTTTCTTTCAGTTGTTTAAGCTTGAGAAATTTGGACCATTTTCTTCCCTTTTGGTGTTCCGATTCCAGGTCTTTACACATTTCTTTATAATACTTTATCATAAAAATTTAGAGTAGTTGTTGTAAGTGCTGTCAAGTCAATTCCCACTAATAGTGACCCTGCATAGGGTTTCGAAGGAGTTAACCTTGCAGTTCAAACCGACCTTGCTGTCCAGTGCTTATTTTACAGCACCACAGTAGGAATTAGAGGTACAAAAACTAGATAGAACATTATTGTAAATAGTTTAATGCGATACAATGTTTGACCAAATTAAGGTATTGAGAATCAGGAGGAAGAGAAATAGCTATACTTGAACTGCTTAAGGTTGTGGCACTGTGGGATAATGCGCTGGATAGCAAGGTTGGTTTAAACCACAAGGTCGGTGGCTCAAGCTCACCAGCCACTCCTTGGAAACCCTGTATAGGGTCACTGTGAGTCAGAACCATTTGATGGCATTTAACAACCAGGACTTGAATCGAAGGAGGAATGGGTAATTTGATATAGTGAGTACGAGAATAGTCAATGATGACTCAGATTTCTACCTGGGGCATTGTGTGCCATTTACCAAGACAGTTTAGAGGATGAGAATTAGGTTTGAGAATCCAGTTCCATTAGTAATCATGACCTTAAAGAACCAGTAAAATAACCAAGAGAACAATTTAAGGGAGAGAACCAAGTTAAAATACAACTATGGGAATCATCTGTATATGTATTGTTGTTAAGTGCTGTCAAGTCAGTTCCGACTCATAGCGATCCTGCATAGGCTTTCTGAGGGCGGCTGGTGAGCTTGAACCGCCGTCCTTGTGGCTCAAAATGACCTTGCAATCCAGTGCATTAAGCCACAGCACCACACCAAATGTAGAAACTAAAGCATAAGGGCAGTAATGAGATTTTCAGAGTCTTTAGATAAGAGTTTAAGAAGAGACACAATGATAGTAAATAAGGTTTCCAGTGAAAATTTTAATTTCAAAACAGATGCATTCTGGTAAAAGTAACATTCATGAAATAATGAAGTGTGGAGACCTGGAGTTACAAAGCAAAAAGTGAAGAACGTGCTCAGTACTTTCCAAGCTAAAAGAACTGCAGGAAAAATTCAAAACTCTAGTTGCGATAATGAAGGATTCTATGGGTAAAATCCACCGCTTGTCTGTCAGTTTGTCATACTGTGGTGGCTTGTGTATTGCTATGATGCTGGAAGCTGTGCCATTTGTGTTTTAAATACCAGCGGGGTCATCCATGGTGGATGGTTTTAGTGGCACCTCTGAAGCTAAGAATAGGAAAAAGGAGAGGTGGATTACTTCTGATAGGTTAGCCACTGAAAACCCTATGAATAGCAGTGGAACATTGTCTAATACAGTGCTGTAAGGTTAGCCTCTCAGGTTGGAAGGTATTTAAACGTGACTGGGGAAGAACTGTCCATGACCTTAATGACATGGATGAGGCAAAGCTTCA